CAGGGTAGGAGTCATCTTGAGCTAAGGCAGTTTCATTTTTCTAACAGGGTGGTTGGCCTTTGGAACAGGTTGCTTTTGGATGTTGTGGACGCAGTAATGTAATTGAGTTTAAAAGAAAGATTGATAACTAAACTAATTATAAGGGCTGGCCTTGAGGGTTGTTTATTTAATTGTTTTAGTTTATTTTCGAGGACGGGACAGCCTAGATGGATGAATAGGTCCCTTGTTGTCTCTAAACATTATGTTATGTTAGGTGATAAGGATTGCAAGCTGGAGGAAAAATAATGGGTAAAAGAGAAGAAGAGGGAGAGAAGTGAGGAGAGAACATATGTTATCCTATAGTTGGCCATGAAGTAAGTCTAAAAGTTAGCTAAGAAGGAAAACAAGTGTCCTCATAGGTCCTGAGCTGACCAGATACAAAGAGGGGTAGTCACTGGTGGGACAGACAAAGGCTAATGCTCTAGAAGGGAGGGATGATAAAAGGTAGTATAGCCATGAAAAGAGAAAATGGAAGAGGAAGAGGATAAACAGGCTAAGTAATATGAGAGGATGCACTGGTTTGGTTTGTTTGGAATTTTGAGCAAAACTACATGAGGGCTACTTGCACTTGCCATACCTAATTTAGCAGTGGTAAACTAGAAGGAAGGCAGCTAGTCCCCACCACCCACTCTTGGGCTAATCTTTTACCAATGAATAGTGGGATTGGCCATAACATTATAATGTCCCCCCAGATGAAAGGGTGAGCATGTTAGGAAATGGGGATATGAACCTGTGACCTGCAGATTGTGAGTCAAGCTCCTTAACCACCAGGCCATGCTATTCCTGGGATGCACAGGAACAGGAAAGATGGGGAGTAAAGAAGCAAGAGAAAAATTATGGCAAGCAGCTTCTGCTCAAGACTCCAAGGTGAGAAGAATAATCCAAAGACAAAGGCAAATGAATGGAGTGAGATGCAAGCCATAAAGGGAGGATTGAGAAACCATGTTAAAAGAAACAGAGCCAAAGAATAGAAAATAGCCTAAACAGGGAAAATAAATGACAAGAAATACCCCAGAAAAACAACATGGATCCTGGTGGAGGGCCTCAGATATGAGAAAAAAAAATCAGATATGAAGGGGAGGGTAACGATGAGAGAATTGATCCCAGATAAGAGATACTGGAGACAGAAGGCCAACATCCATGCAGGCAGAAGGGATTCCAGGGATTGAAGATCCACAAAGACAGAAGGGGAGCAACCATAAGCCAAGTTAAAAGAATCATGTAAATAAGGAGGGCGAGGTATGTAAGAATGCAAATGATGCTGAAACAAGACGATCTCAGCATGGTTACTAAAGTCACATGAAGGGGGAGAATAAAACTACAACATGAAAGCATGGAATAAAGAAGATGAATAAACTTGGACAGAGGAGAAAGGGAATGTGTAGTATAAACCTGATACAAACAGAAAAGAGAGAGAGTAATGACAAGTTTCTCAACAGCAAACAATGAGGTGAGAGCAAAACCATGAAGTGGGAAGAGCTGGAGAAAAATGTTGATCTCATGACTGAGCTCAGGAATGAAGATCACACAGGAGATAGAGGTACTGGAAAGGAAGGCAAGATCCATTAATGATGAAAATTGGCAGTAACATTTTCCACAGACAAAGAACTTCCAGTAGCCATAAACATTGTAGATGATGTGGGAAGTTTCAAGACTTTATACTGTCTGGTTTCTCAAGTTATGTAAACAACCATAGTACAGGACATTAACTAGTCTCATTCAAGATGAAATTTTAGCTTTGTGAGAAGAGGTAGAACCTCAGGAGGATAAGACCACAGAAATGTGAGTTGAAAGTGTTGAAAAACAATGTGAAAGGTAACCTTAACATCCATCACTTGTATTAAACCACTGTTTAGAAAGAAACAAAAGTTAAAAATGAAATTATAAATCTCACAAAAGTCATAAAAAATAGTCAGAAGGACAGTAACTATGTTAATAAAGATTACTAACTCAAATCAATCACAAAGGTTGCACAAAATCTTTCAAAATTGAAGAGCAAAATGAAACAGTGGTGAGTTTAAGAACGAAGTTAATTTTGAGTGCAAATGTTTATGTAATCCACTGTGCATTAAGAATTTGTTACCTTCCTATTGGTGTAGAGTTATTGTTGCATGATAATAACATCATGTACTAATGCAGTTCATGTCAAAACACATGATTTAAATGTGCAGAGGAGGGCTACTATGATGATACCTGGAATGGAAAGATTATCATATGAGGATAGGTAAAAATCTCTGAGCTTGTTTACTCTTTAAAAAAGATGTTAGAGGGGATCTGATTGAGGTGTTTAAGTTTGCTAAGGGAATTGAAAGTGTTGATGCATCATCTTTTTTTCAAATTCAATGGTGAGAATGATAAGACTAGAAGACAGAAATATAAATTTTGGCAGGGATGAAGCCATCTTCAGCTGAAATGATGATTAGTCTTGGAACAGGTTACCTTCAGGTGTGGTAGATGCAATTAATTTAAGGGAGTTTAAAGGAGAACTTGGTAAATATTTGAATGATAAAGTGAGGTTATTTTTTAAGGGTTCAGTGGATAGAACAGCCCAGATGGACACAAAGTCTCCTTGCTGTTCTTTAATGTAATATTAAGTGTTTGGTAGGAGGTAGTTCAAGGCTGGTGGCATGCACAAAATCTCAACAACAGGAGCATGATAAATAGTTAGTTTGTGCCTAGAAATAAGTGAACTGTTTTGGAATCAGAATTTTATAACAACAGCATTCATTACTTTGTTTTTTTTTCACAGTCACAAAGAAGAAACTCAACTATTATACATTAACAGTTGAGTTCTTCTAATTAAACTTAAGAAAACAAAAGAATGTTGTGTTAAAACTAGCTTATTTTTTAATACTTATACACATAAAAACCGAGTTATTAGGCCACCACTACATATGATTTGTATTTCATTACACAAGCCTTTGATATTTGTTACTGTAATAGGTAGAATAAACTGAAACAAAGAATTTATTTCAAATAGTTTCTTCCTTATTTCACAACTACACATAAAATAAAATAAAACATCATGTTCCCTCTCAACAAATTCAAATTTACCATACCAGCCTTTTTTCTCACAGTAATACATAAAATAAATTCAACTTATATATCAAAAACATTTTCATTTTAGAATTCAGATTACCTTTTCTTGTGAATATGGTTTCTTCACCTCAGTGATCACAGACACTTTCTGGTTAGTTTGTGGGACCACTTCTTTTTCCTCTGTTGACAGTTCTTGTTCACTATCTTCATTGTTCTGATCTTCTATATCTGAGAAACGAGCAGCACTATGGCCAGGTCTAGGTTTTAGTGGCTGGAACTGATCAGGTGTACTTTCTCCGACAGTCAACACATGGGTCTGTGAAGATAAAGAATAAACTTTATTTGCAATACTAATGATAAATTTGCTTTTCTTTCTGGAACAAAGAAAACAATAATGTGAATTATGACAATAACACCGAAATTTTTTAAAAAATTTTGTGTTCTCTCATGTTAAAGCAAAATCAGATCTACATTGTGATGATAAAACTTTACAAAATAAGTCACCTACACAAAATGTCTTTCAATGGAATTACAGTAAGCACCAGAGACTAATGGAAAGACTTTATAGGTGTCTCACTTTCATAACAAACATCACAGAAGATGAAAAAATTATAAAAAAAAAGATTTACACAAAATAATACCAAAGTCTCAAGTGTGCTAGGATAAAACAACTAATCAGCAAAGAAAGTCCTATACAGTTCATACAGCTGTCTCTAATATGATGGCAATTACAACACAAATCTTTCTTTTTACATGTCAAACACTTGAATGTTCAGTAGTTTAAGAAATCAGATATAAGTACAAATATGCATGCATAAATGTCATGTACATGACAAAATGCAACAGTGTATGTAAAGAACATAGGAATTAGCAGATGTATATGAACAAAACAAAGGTAGCCCACATATTAAAACATCTAGTTTGAAAAAAGCTAAAGTTAACATTTTCCTACGCTGAAAATGTATTTCCGATAGATACTTATCTCTTTTCATGTAATAGCTTTTCTTGACTTGTGCTGCCTTCTATTTTCACTTGCCACTAGCCCTGATGCTCTTATTTACCCTCACATAATTTCCTATGGTATAGCTGTGCTGTAGCAAGGGAATGAGCATGTGACAATCCTCCTTGAAGGAAGAAAATGGTTCTTCCTTGTCCATATGTTACTTGAGTAGCAAATGTACATGTATCTATATTTGTAAAGTTCTTAGAATATTAAGGGAATGCATGTTCCTTTTATTGTGGATAACCAGTTTACATACTAATTATTAGGAAATAAGCAGGTGTAAACGTTTCTTTAATTGGGGACATGTAAGTTTACATGCTAATTATTTGGAAATAAGCAGATGAACATGTTTCGTTTATTGAGGACATGTAAGTTTACATGCTAATTATTTAAAAATAAGCAGATGAACATGTTTCTTTTATTGGGGACATGTAAGTTTACTTGCTAATTATTTGGAAATAAGCAGGTGTAAATGTTTCTTTAATTGGGGATAAGCAAATGTATAAGCTAATTATTTGGGAATAACAAAGCATCACAGTTTCTTTTACTGGGGATAAGGAGGATTATTCTTGTTTGTTAGGAACAAGTATTTGTACATGTAAAATGAATAAGCTGACATGCATAATAGTTGGGTGGATTAAACAGCTATTCAGGCTGAGTAAGAAAGTATGTGTATTTATTATATAAGAATAAGTAAGGATGTATACTACTTAGTTGGGAATACACAGGTGTTGATGTGAAAAGCAAGCAAGTAGATATGCAAACTAGTTAGTTGGGAATAAGTAATAAGTAGGTGTGCATATAATGTGAATAAGCATGTTCACACACTAGTTAGTTAGGAATACAGAGATGTGCATGAAATTAAAATGAGCAAGATTGCACATTAATTATTGGGAATAAGTAATAAGTAGGTGAGTATATAATAGAATAAGATGGTTCACACACTAAGTAAATGGGAAATAAGTAGGTGTATATGGAATGGGAATAAAGAAGTTCACACAGGTTATTTTGAAATAAACAGGTGTGCATGGAATGAGAACAAGATGGTTCACAATCTAGTCAGTTGGGAATAAGTAAGTATGCATGGAGTGGGTATAAGTAGGTTTGTAATGAATGAGAATAAGCAGGTTCACACACTAGTTAGTAGGGAAAAATATAATAGGAATAAGATGGTTCACACACTAGTTATTTGGGAATAAATAGGTGTACATGGAATGGGAATGAGCAGGTTCAAACTCAAGATAGTAATAATTAAGAGTGCATGGAATGAAAATAAGCAAGTTTGCACACTGATTACTTTATATGGAATTTATGCATATAAATTACATAAAATTATGCACAGGTTCCATGTATGCATGAAATACTTAGAATTATCAAGGTGTAAAAGTGCACATGAAATACAAAGGCTTCTACTCGCAAATGTAAATTTAGAAGATTAGTCTAGTAAAGGCCATTATCAAATGTAACTTATTTCTATGGATACATTTGAAAATATCCTTCTGGAGCTATTAAACCAAAAAATTATAACATATGTTATTACAGAAGAAACCTTTCAAGATAGGATAAGAATAGTAATAAGATGTAAAAAAAAATTAAATCTTGGTTAATTTATTTTTTAAACATTATAATTATACTGAACTTCTGAGGTTCATAGCTTTCAGTGCCAAGATGACAGTGAAATGATTAGTCAGTTGTAGTAATCCATATTTTAAGTAGTCTTTTTTATGGTTGTCAAATAGTTTTCTATTCTTCTGCCATGCTGATAACAAATGCTGAATTTAAGGGAGGTTCTTTGTGGTACCTCATTGGAATGAAGATATTGTTATAACAGTGGAAGTCACGCGATGCTGGGAGCATACGCGCTGGAGTTTCTAGAAGGATCGTGACTTAGCAGGCAACCTCACAAATGTCCAAGCATTTGCTAAACGTCCTCTTTCTTTAGTATATAAGCCGGATAGAGATATGGACACAGATAATTGAGTCAAGCGAGCAGTAGGCACCGTAAGTAAAGTGTGTGAATCACTGAGAATTATAGCGTGTGTTTATAAAAATAGTTAAG